TAGGGTTAGGGTTGGTGAGCGTGATCTGGAAGGAAGTCGCCTACCGGGTAGTTTGCCTGTGCGAGGGAAGTTGAGGGCAGCGCCTTTCACGAAGGTGGGATGCACTGGGTATTTCCAAGGACCCGCACCTCGCACCGCAGTGCCAGTGGGTAGTGCCGGGCCAGCGAGTAGGGTGAGAGCTCGGTGATGGGGACGGGACAGGCTCCCCATTCCACTCCCCGCGTCGCGTCGTCTACATTTCGGGGGGGGTAGCCCCTGTTCATGTGACCTTCAGTGTTCGGGATGACGTAGGGACGTATGCCCCTCCCCCCGGGGTCAGGCTGAGGGTGAGGGTTAGGATGAGGATTCTGGTGAGTGACAGCCTCGCCGTTTCTGCACCTGGGTATCGTTGTGCGGCTTTCCTAGTGAGTACCAGCATGAGATTTCGCCTTAGGAACAGGAATGGTGATAGTGTACATCCTTGTATTGTTCCTGGTTATAGCATGAAGGATTTCAGTTTTTGACCATTTAGATCATTTAGTATGATATTGGGTATTGGTTTTTCATAGATGGCATTTCTCAGATTGAGGTAGAGATCATCTATTCCAATTTCCTGTAAGCTTTTTACCATGAATGCATGTTGGATTTTGTCAAATGCTTTTTCTGCATCTATTGATATGATCATATGGTTTTTGTCTTTGGCTCTATTAATATAGTGTATTACATTAATTGATATGCATATGTTGAACCATTGCTGCATCCTTGGGGTGAGCCCCACTTGGTCAGGGTGTATGATCTTCTTGATGATCTTCTGCATTCTATTTACTAGTATCTTATTAAGAATTTTTTCATCTGTATTAATTAGTGAGATTGGCCAGTAGTTCTTTTTCAGTTGGGTCTTTCTCTGCTTTGGGGATCAAGGTGATGCTTGCTTCCAGGAATGAAGTTGGGAGTATTTCTTCCCTTTCAATTTCCTTGAAGAGTTTAAATAGGAGTGGCAGTAGTTCCTCTCTAAATGTCTTGTAGAATTCAGTAGTGAAGCCATCAGGGCCCAGGCTTTTCTTAGTTGGTAAGTTCTTAATTATATTTTCATTTCATTGATTGATATTGGGTCATTTATAATTTTTAGAACATTTTCATTCAACTTTGGTAGTTCATTCATATCTAGGAATTTTTCCATTTCTTCTGTTTGTTTGTTTGTTTTTGGTACCAGGGATTGAACTGGGGTCCTTGCGCTTGCAAGGCAGGCCACCGAACCACTAAGCTAAATCCCTGGCCCTCCATTTCTTCTGTATTTCCATCTTATTGGCATAAAGGTTCTTGAAGTAGGTATTGATGATTGTCTGGATTTCTGCTGAGTCTGTTGTAATTTCACCCATTTCATTCCTAGTTGCATAAATTTGGGTCTTTTCTTCCCTTTGATTTGGTTGGCTAAGACTTTGTCAATTTTGTTTACTCTTTTGAAGAACAAATTCTTGACTTCATTGATCTTTTTGTATCATTCTTTTAAGCTCCATTGCATTGATTTCTGCTCTAATCTTTATAATTTCCTCCCTTGCCTGAGCTTTGGGTTTGTCCTGCTGTCCTTTTTCTTGAGGTTTAGCATCAGGTTGTTTAATTCCATTCACTCTGTTTTCCTAATATGCATATTGAATGCTATCAGTTTCCCTGGTAAGATTGTTTTCATTGTGTCCCATAGATTCTGATACCTTGCATTGTTATTGTTATTTAATTGTAGGAACTCTCTGATTTCTTCTTCAATTTCCTCTGTAAACCATTGGTTATTCAGGAGTGTGTTGTTCAATTTCCATATATTTGTGAAATTCTTGCAGTTTCTTTTGCTATTGATCTTCAATTTCATCACACTATGGTTGGATAATATATGGGGGATAACTTCAATTCCTTTGCACTTATTTGACATGTTTTATGAGAGAGCATGTGGTCTATTTTGGAGAATGACCCATGTGCAGTTGAAAATAATGTGTATTCTGATTTTGTGGGGTGGAACACTTTGTAAATATCTATTAAGTTCATTTGTTCAAGAATTTGATTGAGTTCCAGTATTTTATTGTTTATGTTCTGTCTAGTTGATCTATTTGTGACAATGGGGTATTGTGGTCCCCCATTTTTACTGTATTAGTGCTTATTTGATTTTTTCATGTCCAGTAGTATTTGTTTTATATAGTTGGGCACACTTGTGTTTGGTGCATATATATTTGTGATTGTCATTTCTTCATTTTGGATTGTTCCCTTTATAAGCATGTAGTGTTCTTCTAGCCACTCTTGCCTTTTTGTGGGTTCCTGTCACATGGAGTATTGTTTTCCACCCTTTAACTTTCAATCTATGAGTTTCTTTTTGAATGAAGTGTATTTCTTGTATGCAGTATATTGTTGGATCTTACTTCTTGACCCATTTTGCCAGTCTTTCTTTTGATTGGTGAATTGAGACCATTAACATTGATGGTTATAAGTGAAATGATTTATCCTTGTCATGACTTTCTTTTTGTTGGATTCTCCCCTTTTGCATTTAGTTTCTTGCCATGCCTGATGGATTCATTCTGCTGGGCTTCCTGGGGTTGTGATCCTCATTGTATTTTCCTAGGATATTGTTCAAAATTTTTTGGAAGCTAGTTTGGTATTCGTGAAGTTCCTAAGGTGCTCTTTATCATGAAAGTATCTTATTTCTCCATCAAGTTTTGAAAGGTAGTTTTGCAGGGTACATCAATCTGGAGTGGAGGTCATGTTCCTTTAGGCCTTGAAATACATCACTCCAAGCTCTTCTTGCCCTGAGGGTTTGTGTTGAGAAGTCTGCTGTGATTTTGATGGGTTTTCCTTTGTGTGTGATATGTTTCTTTTCTCTGACTGCTTGTAGAATTTTGTTCCTCTGTTGGGTTTCTGGAATCTTAACTATTATATACCTATGTGCAGATTTTTTTTTTGATCATGGCTATTTGGAGTCCTATATACCTTACTTATCTTTATGTCAAATTGTTTTCCCCTACTTGGGAAGTTTTCTGTCATTACTTCTGTGAACAGTTTTTTTAATGTCATTTGCACTCTTGTCCTGCTTCTTCAGTGACTCTGATCAGTCTTCTATTATTCTTCTTTGCATCATCCAGTAATTAGATTGATTTTTCATGGTCCCTTACTATTTTTAAGAAATTTTTCTTTTCCTGTCCACTAATTGCCATCCCATCTTCTATATCTGAAATTCTATCTTCACATTGGCTCATTCTGCTGCATAAACGTTCAATGGAGTTTTTAATCTCCTGGAAGTCTGATTGCTTCTGTTTTATGGATTCCATTTGTTTTCTATGTTGGTATTCCATCATGTTCCTCAGATACTCTATTTTTTTTAATCTGTGTCTACTCTAGATTTTTGAATCATGTCTTGCAATATGGGCACAATCTGTGCTGTTATCTGAGAAATTATCTGTAACTTCATTTTTTTCAAGATCCTCTTTTGTTGCCAGTTCTGGGAGTCCAGATTGTTGAGTATCAGATTGTTCCATCTCATTTCCCCTTGGGGTTGACTTAGGTGATTTGGATGTTGGGTTTGGGGACTAGTTTCTGTGTCTTCTCATTTTAACAGATGCAGCCTGCTGTGCCTTTATTGAGACAAATTTTTTTCTCACCCAATGGTCTTCAATTCTCAGCAAGCCACCAAGAGGCCTTTTCTCTGCTTCTCACTATTACACAAATTCCTGGGTTCAAACCACTGATGCTATGGGGTGGATCTCTGACTAAAGCTTGTGTACCTGTGTAGCTCTCTCATGGACAGACTTTAACTGGGCAGGTTTGCCCAAGCCTCTGGGGTTGTGGTGGATCCCTACTGGGATCTGCCTGCAGCTGAGATGGTCTGGACCATACCGCTTTTCCCAGGGATCTGTACATCCACCAATGCTATTGGGTGGGCCTCTGACTCTGCTCAATTCTTTATTTGACATACTAAGAATCTGGAAATAACTCCACCAAGACTCTCAAAGGGATGACAGATAAACCTTTCCTCTTATTAAGTGAACTTATTTCAGGTATTTGTCATAAGAATGGAAAGATGAATAACAGTCTGTTATTGTTACTTATTTTTCATTACAGATTATTATTGACTAATAATTCAAGTGGAATATTATTCTCCCAAACAATGACTAGATGGAAATCACTCAATATTAATTCTACTGTTTAAATAAAAGTACTCCCAATTTTAGAGTGATTTGCTGATTTCTATCCCAGTAATATGTTTATCAAATCTGAACCAAAGAATACAATTTTCTTAAAAACTCAGAACTTTTCCAAGATTAGGAACAGGCTGAACTTCACTAGGAATAAGTCCATATTCTTTAAATATCCTGAAATGATTGTAGGTTTGAGCTGAATAACACAAACTGCACCAAGGCTGTTGCACAGGGGGACAAACTTTCAAAGACTAGTGTCACACACACAAAAAAAGAGTGGGCAGAAGTGTATCTGTACTCTGCACAGATTGAGGTCCTCATTGTTTATGAATCTGCTACCCTGTTGCTAGATGTTATACACCAAAAAAGTGGTGTTGGATGTTTCTCTTCAGGTGGAATAATTTGTTTTGTAATCTGTTCCTTATAAATTCCCCAATATCAGCATACCCATGTGATACCTTTCTGCTACAATTTGATTCCTAAATGTCTCTCAAAGTTCCAGAGACAAAGATCCTTTAAGATATACAATGTAATGGGAGCTCTTTATGTCATTGGCAGTGTTCCCTTACAGGGTTCTACACAATCTGGCTTCTTTTTTCACTCTATATTGCTTCCTGCTCATGAAATGAGCAGTTTTGCTCCTTTATGTGCTTCCAAAGCAGTGAGGCCAACCAATCATGTCTGGAATGTCCAAAACTGTGAGCCAAATTAAACTTTTTCCCTTTTAAAATCAATTATCTTAGGAGTTTGTTATAATGATAGAAAGCTGACTAGCACACTTTCCAACATAGCACTTCTCTACAGTCCAGCAAGGACACTGAGCAAATCAAACAGAGCACTCTCTATTGTAGTAGCTTTCAGTGATAGTTGCAGAGGTTATGGTATTCTCTGTAATAACAGTTTGGCGTTATCATTACAGCATCTGCTATCACCTTAGTTCTAAACCTGTTTCTTTCATGAACAACTCTAGTTTAACCTGTGAGGAACACTATGTCTTAGGCAATTTATTAAAAAATATTATTTTCTCAAATAGTATTGAATGTGAAGAATGAACACAGTGCACCAGGCAAGAATAAAATCAATATGAAGCATCTGTTTGAGTATACACTCTTGGGTCTTCCCTGAATGGATCTGTCTCCTGACTTCTCCTCACCGTCAATATCAAGATACATACTGTATCATGTCGGTGCATTTAATTAACAGGGCAACCAAAACTGTTTATATGATTCTCTCCTGTTAGCAATCAGAATAGTTTACTTTGGAGTTTGATTCCAGCAGCCTCAGCAGTTTGGATCATTAATGACAGTGACAAGACTTTGAGACTGAGGTTGTTTACACTCTCATATGTCCGTGTGCAGATAACATTGTTCATGGAACTTTCCTAGGAAACAAAAGAAGGATAAGGCACTTCAGTACTGCTGATGACACCAACATGTAAGAAAACATAAATTATGTGCTATCCATGCATGACCTTTTAAAAATATCTTAAAAAGATAATATTGATAAATATGATTTATGTGATATATATGGCACATACAGTGAATATTTATATATGTATAAAAGGCAAGCATACAATTTATAATCTGAAATTTTTAATGGAATATTTAAATGCCAAAAATATTTAAATGCCTACATTGAAGAATTTTTGCTATTTTATATACTGTACCTTTTAAAATAATAATACTCAATATAATATCTTACAGTTTTCAGAGCATCGTATGTGGACCTGAAGATATTTAATTCTCTCAGGAAGCCTTCTATGAAGGTACTATCTAGTTGTTTTGGTAGGGAATCTGAAGCTCGGAGAGGATAGATGACATGTCCAAAGTCACACACCTACTGAATGGCATGGGTAAAAAGCCACATTTGCAGATTTGCATCTAGTGTTCTTCTTAATGAACTGTTTAGTTATTGGCTATTCACTGAACTATTTATTTACCTGTCATATTGGCCAATGTCATTATAAGAAAGAATAAAACCATTCTTAATTCTTTTGTAATGTCTCAAGGAACAAGATGTACTCTTCATTGTACGAAGAACATCTCGCTCCAGAAAGAATGGCTATTATTAAGAAATCAACCAACAAGAAATGTTGGTAGGGATGTGGGGAAAAAGGAACCCTGCTCCACTGCTGCTGGGAGTGCAACCATTGTGGAAATCAGTGTGGAGATTCCTCAAAAAATTAGAATTAGAGGTTCCATTTGACCCTGCTATTCCCCTGCTAGGTATCTTCCTGAAAGAATTAAAAGCATCATATCACAGCAATGTATGCACACCCATGTTTATAGAGGCACCATTTGTAATAGCTAAATCTTAAAACAACCCAAATGCCCATCAACCGACGAATGAATAAAAAGATGTTTTTTTTTATACAATGGAGTACTACTTTCCATAAAGAAAGATAAACCTGAGACATATACAGCTAAGTGGATGCAATGTGAGACTATATTCTTAAGTGAAATAAATGGGATACATGTTTAAATATTGCATATTCTTGCTGGTGTGAGAAACTAAAAGGATAAATAAGGACCAAAATGTATAATAGATAAAAGGAAATAGGCAGAAACTGTTCAAAAGGAAAGGGAAACTATGAAGGGGGGAGGAAAAAAATAGAAACAAAACTTTTGTAAACAAGGGGGAGGGAATGTTGAAAGGAGGAAGAAGCATTGGGAGGAAAGGAGGATCAGGATGTACCATATACAGTACAATTCCCTTTGATGAATGTTACCATTATGTATTTTAAATTGTACCAATAAAATTAATTAAAATTTTATAAGAAATATAGATTTCTGTTTACCTACATATAAATCTTGCACATTACCTTTGATCTATTTTATGTTATGTCCAGAATTACCATTTTATTAATTTTGGTGCAGATGGAGTTTGGGAGGACTCTTTTCCCTGAAGTAGAGCAGAAGGGCCTTGAAAATGTATAAATTTTTAAATTAAGCCAACTGGATTTTGATCTCAACATTACTACATTTTTCTAGTTTTCTATTCCTAGAAAAGTCAATGTCTAAATCTTAGTTTCCTCATCAGTTAAATGAGCTAATAAACCTTACCTCACAGGATTATTAAGGGGTGGGTAAATAATACAATAAAATATGGGAATGTGGTGACAATTCAAGCATCATTTCTTACTCATCCACACAACAAAAAGATAGCCTTCCTGTTTCTTATCCCTAGTTCACACTCCCCTCTTGTGCTCTTATTTGATGTTGATTTGGTGAAACAGTGAAGGGTTAATTCTGGTAGATGGTGTAGGATTGGCAATAAACATCATTTGAGTTGAAACTTTTATTGCACAAATACATGTTTGTTTTGGTTCAGGCATGAGTTAGAGAATTATTTATTCTCTAGTTTTTTAGTTCCTCAGTTCAAGCACACTTTACAATTTTTACGATTATGCATTTATCTGCCAATGTTTGCCCTCAAGGCCTACAAGGTAAAAGAAAAAATGACATTCATATTTATTTTTTTAAAACAAGTTACTGGTGTGATTTTTATATTAGGATTTCCAATAGCTGAGAAAATAGTGAGAAACAGCTCACTAATCACCACCATCTTCCCATCCACCAGCTTTCTTCAGATGGTGGCTTCATTGCCAATTCAGTCCTGAACTTGAACCAAGGAGTCATTGTCTAAGGTAATGGTGCTCTGGAAAACAGACAGGACCTTATTCAGATCGGGTCATCACATTTGAACACTAACATTTTATCATGTGCCAAATTCTTTTCAGCCATTATGATGCTCCCAGGTAGTTCCAAGATAATATTTATAATCCCATTTATTTTAAGACTTTTTCATTAGACACTTTTTGGCCAGTTCTTCCAAGGGAAAATAAGGTTTACCACAGTAAATCACTTGGAGAGTAAGTGAAACTTTCTCTTTTATATTTTGTCATGTAGGCAAGGTATTATCTTTTTGCTAAAGAACCACACTTTAAAAATATATGTGAGGCCAATTCAAACTCCCATTGTTAAAGCCTAAGGAGAAAAGCCCCCTCGTGTCCTCTTACTCTAATAGTATTTTTTGTCATAGTAGGGCATTTTTTAAAACTGACACAGACATCTTTTTAAAAACATCTTTGGTCAAAATTCTTTCATTTTATATTTTACATGAATTTGAGGTCTCATATTTATTTAGTGACTGTCTTTTCACATGATTTACTGTACTAGTTCCATTTTTTAGGATATTGACCTCCATTGAGATCGACAATCCCCTATTTATTTCATTCATTCTAACATAGTGTTTATAGGGCACCTATTAAGTACTAAGCACTGGATTTTGTGAAACAAAGGAGAAATACTGTCTTTGAGGTATTTACATTCTCAGGTGAGGAAACAAGTGGTAAATAATAAACAAATTATAAGTAAATTGATGCATTGTAATTGGAGCCTGCGAGATGGGAATGAAAATTGTATAAGTTTCTTTCAAGCTGAGACAATACAAATCACTCTCTCTCTCTCTCTGTCTCTCTGTCTCTCTCTCTCTCTCTCTCTCTCTTCCTCTCCCTCTCTCTGTCTGTCTCTCACCCCATTCTGTCCCCAGGAGACTACAAGTTCTAGGTTGTACAATTACAAGGTAGCTGAAATGTCTTTGCCCTGGTCCCTGAGAAATTGAGAGGGACAGAAATCCTTTCCATTCTCCTATGCATACAGAGACTTGCTCCACTCCACCCTCAACATTGCCTGTGTACTGAGTTAGAAGTAATTCCCCATTGTCTTAAGCCACTAAGAGCTTGGGACTCATCTGTTACAGAGGCATAATGTTGCCTATACTAGCTGACACAAGTTTTATTCATTGTGTTTCTGTGTGTAGGAAGAGAGAACTTATATTTCTGAGAGGACTAAATATTAATTTAATGATTCTAAGTTATTCTCAAAATGTGGCCTCCCAAGTATTTGAATAAAAATTTTTAAAAATGCAATTTTCAGGTGTCCACCCGAGAGTTCAGTGCCCTGTGTATGAGCAGTAAGCACTCTCCACAAGCATCCCAGGATGCACTGGATGTTAATGCTCAATATCTGCAGATTTAGATTTTAGACAGAAGTGTTTGCTACTGCAGCTAACTTGGGCTACTTTCTAATTAGCCCTTATGAAAGATAGTTGTACACCTCACCTTGGTTTTACAGCCACCTGGTGTGGTTTCTTCAAACTGTTCACCAAGTTTAAATGAGATCTTATTATTTTTAAAGATGCTTTTTGTGGGCTGGGTATTTAGCTCAGTGGTTCCAGTGCCTGCTTTGCAAGCACAAGGATTTGAGTTTGATCCCCAGTACCAAAAAAGAAAAAGATGCTCCTGGTTTTTATGGTGATCACATCTCCATCTGTACTAATGGTCGTAATGGGTTTTTCCAGGCAGCCCACTTTCCTACTGGCTCTTCCTATTCCTAGAAAACAGATGAATGGTTAAGTAGAAGAACTCATGTTCTTTGTATAATTATTTGCTATGGAGGAAATTTGTTACACAGATTTAATGCTGCATGAATTAAAATATCTGAAGCCAGTTGTTCCACATTACATTGTAAAATTGATTAAACATGATTAAAGCTATAAATCATCTTTCTACTTTAAAAATATACCCTTTTCACATACAAATGAAATATTTGGGATAGATACTTCTAGATCTTTAGGTTTTTATTTACATTCTTATATGTAATCATACATACATGTATGGTTTGTTATATCTATTGTATAGTTTTTATTGTGATAAAATACACCTGTCACCAATTTGCCAGTTTTGCATTTTAGGTGTATAACTCAGTGGCATTAAATACTTCATAATATTGTGCAACCATCCCCTCTACATATACGGTTTTCAAAAATACAAGTATTATATTTCATTATTGTTTTCTTTCTTTTTCCCTTAATTTATATGTCTTAGCAACTTTCCATGTCAGTGCACAGATAGGTATTTTTCATAGTTACTGAATATATATATTTATTAATTTATTTTCTCCTGCTCCCACTGATAATAAATTTGTTTCTAGTTTTGTTTTTACAACTAATTTGGCAGTGAACATCCTTGTACATACAGCTTTGTGCAATATGTGTAGGAATGCCTTCAACAGAAATAGCATTCCATACATGGAATGCCTAAGGTAAGTTTCTAAGAGAAGACAGCACTGGAGAAATACTATAATGTGGTTCATGGAATTCATGTTGTAAAACATGATCAGAAGATGCAACGTGTCCTTGGGACCTGTGAATGTTACTCATTATACCAAAGGGAACTTTGCAAATGCAGTTAATCTAAGGATCTTGAAAGGGAGAGATTATCCTAGATTATAGATTGAAACCTACTGTAAATGTAATCACAAGTTTCCTTATAGAAGAAGGGAAATAGAGGGCTGGGGATTTAGCTCAGTGGCACAGCCCCTGCCTTACAAGCTCAAGGTCCTGAGTTTGATCCCCGGTACAGCAAACAAACAAAAAACAGGAAATGCTATGCTACATAACAGAAGAAAAGAAGACAGAATAAGAATGGGAACCAAGATTGAAACTTTATGGCCACACCTGCATCTACCAGAAGCTAGAAAAGAGGATGTATTTTGAAGATTCCATAGAGATTAGAGCAATTTATAATATAATCATTTAAAAACAATCATATCATGTCTTTTTGTTTTAAATTATTCAAATTGCTGTTTAGTAAATGTTATATGCATATTTTGTTTATATAAAACCATAGAAAATTGCACAAAGGATTAAGTCAATTCCAACCTAGTTTTGTAACAGAACTAACCTCAAGTAGTAAATGAATATTTATGATTTTCTATGTGAAAAAACAGGGAATCAAAAATTCATCTTATTTTATACCAAGTAAGTTATATGCCTTCAAAACTCCCATTAATACTGGATATGACAGGCAAATAAACATGGCTTACCTAGCTCTTCCATATATTTTCAAAAGAAATGGATTTCCATGCTTCTTGGAGGTGATCCACCATTCTGTCTGAGATAAGTTGATCTCAAAACAAAAATAGCTTCATGTGGATGTGTGTTAATGTTTCCTGAAATACTACTAAAACATATTTTTGATGTAATTTTGGGTGGAGAAAGCAATGAGAAAAATCAAGAGAAAAAATGAGGAACTCTAATTCCTATGATTTTCTCTTAGTACCATCTAAAGCAGAAAATCTCTTACATGTAAATAAGTCAGGTTCAAAATGGAAACATGGTAGTTTTTAGCAGGACTAAATATAACTTTCCTAGCATTGATTAAGGATCAAATATAGATGCCCTTCCTTTCTAAAGGACCTGCCACACTTACAGCAGGTGGCCCTGAGCAGCTCTTTCTTGCCATAGAACTCCTAATCCCCAAGTATCTGTCTTTCTTTGACCAGAAGTGACATAGAATGGGTCAATTTATTAGCTGTTCAGATATTTTATATTCTTCTTGATAATTTGTGCTAAAAAGAAAAGCAATGAGTCTACACAGATGATATTTGACATTGTTGTGCCCAGATTGCAATATCCCCAAAGACCACCAAGGAGTAAAGTCTGATGCAATCTCACGAGGAGTTTATTGCAAGCTCGAGCTTGGACCCCGCAGACCTCACTGACACAGCGGTTCCGGACCAAGAACCCCTAACCCAATTTCAAACAGGCTTTTTATCAGCAAAGAAGCAGAACTAGGGGCTTTCTAGACAGGTCAGTACCTGATTGGTTAACATTTTAAGCTTGCAGGCAGGGGACAAAGGTCTGCTGACTTGAGCTGGTGGTGCAGTCATGTGAACTAGGGGCTTTCTAGACAGGTCAGTACCTGATTGGTTAACATTTTAAGCTTGCAGGCAGGGGACAAAGGTCTGCTGACTTGAGCTGGTGGTCAGCAGTCATGTACTCGGCAGTCACACATTGATGATTAACAGATACCTATAGGTTGGTTCAAAGGCCACCAAGACATTCCGGATGAGCAAACAGTTTGACAATTAACTTGGGGTTTTTCCAGTAACTGGGTGGTGACCTGATCACAAAATGCAGTAACTTTTTCAGAATGGAATCAGTTTGGGCGCCACAACACTTGAGGTAAAAATTTTGTCAGAGGTAGAAAAGCCATTTTAAGACAAATGCTATCAATAATGGAATAGAGAAAAGGGGGGAAGAGATTGTGGTTTATATACTGAGACAGAAGAAGGAAGAGGAGGAGAGGGGGATAGGAAGAGGAAAAGAAGGAGGAGAAGCAGAGGAAGAAGAAAAAAGAGAAGAATGAGAGGAGGAGGAAGAAGGAGGAGGAGGGGAAGAAGGAGGAGAAGGGGAAGAGGAAGGAGAAGGAGACAGAGATGGAGAAAGAGAAGGAGAAGAAGGAAAAGCAGGAGGAGAAGAAAAAGGAGAGAATCATGCTGCTGTTTTGCCAGGAGCTGACTCAATTCTCATAAGTTCAGAATCATCATTGCCATGAGGACCACACACCTTCTTAGTAAATCCTCCTTCACGTAGGCTGGTTATCTGTCAATAGCTCCAGAAAATCAGAACAGAAAATAAGAAGTATTAAAGCAAACACATCAGCTAGAGAAGGGGGCTCCAAACAGTAAGCTGAGTGACAAACTCCTAATACATGTATCAGCCCCTGAGGACACCCCTGTTTATTTTAGCCTTGCTATGTTCATATGTTGACATAGTTATTAAGAAACACCAAAGTTATAAAAACTTTTAAGACAAAAAGAGTGTACAACAGTTTATAATTTCCATTAAAATGTGAAGTAACTAAACACCAGTATTTGTAAGGGCAATTTATACAGGGCAATAGTTTTATTAATATTTATTTGACAAACATTTATGGACCAACTATATTATATGAAATTTTACATATGCTATTGATTGAATGTCTCAGTTATGGTTGGTAAAGATATCACAATTTGCTGGTTTATTTTTCTTTCCTGAGTTAGGCCATTTAACATCATTACTCTTTAACATTACTGTGTACAAATTATAAGTTTATGTCCCTCAATTTAATTATGATGAGGTTAAGGCTAGGAAATGACCCACCACTGAAGGTACTGCAGGTAATAAAGTGAGGCATTTAAGGTAATGATTTTCCAAAAAATGTTGAACACATCACTACAAATGTTAGATGCAAACTGATCCTTCATCAAGGAGAATCACTAATTGAAGGTCACCTCCTTAAAGAAGTCATGAGGGGAATGGTGTTGCACTCTGCTGCTGACAGCTTCAGCTTGCAGCAGCATCAGTAGCTAAATCATGGGATGGAGCCCATGTGGAGCTCCTTCATTTCTGTTTCCACCACATGAGAGTCTAAGTTTTGAGCAAATGCTCACTGACCAACCCATTTTGTCACCTTGTTTGTTCAAGTGATAGATGGATTATGTTGTCCATGAATATGTGGTCAAAATCTTCACACATTAATGCTAACTCCTGCATTCTTCTACACCAGACATTCTTTATCTACAAGTTTTTGGTTCTTCCTTTCAGGCTCCTGAACAGCCTATCAGACTATTTGTCTTCATCAATGACTGTGTATATATTCTTGTCTCAAGTCACTGCGCCTTCCACACAAAATGAGAGCAGATGCATATCTCTGAGCTGTGTCCACTGGGATAGTATTGCTTTCCAGGATCTCAAGCCCTCTCCCATCCCAAATATGATAAAAATCACTTCCCAATTTCAGCTTCCTTTCAACACTGAGCTGACTGACCCACAAACATGTTTAAGCTTTTCCTCTTTCATTTGGTAACATGGGAACTTATCTTCTCATCAGCATGATCTGGAGGAGGGTTTCTGGTGCTACCATAGGAGATGACATTGGTAGGGAAAACTTTAATAGCAAAAACACCATGAAATGTCACAAGGTAAGATAACTTCTGCCCTGTACACAGTTTAGTTCAGAATTTACTGACAGACCAGAGGCATCTAGTCTCCCTCAAAAGTTTTGTAAATGAAAAGAACCATTGTTAGCTTTGCTGACCAAACACACCCCCTTCCCCTTGGCTATGATAGATAACTACATGAATTTTAAAGACAACCTCCCCTACCAAAGAAGTGCTGCATCCAAGTTGAAATTCAACTGCCTCACCACCATGTTTTGAATATCAGCAATTGAACTGTGAAAATGCAATGTAACCACCTGAATGAGATCAAGGCTATAAAACCCTATAAAAGGGGGAATTGTAGCCAAGTACTTAGTTGATCAGGGCACCGCTGTTAGGTGTCATCAATGCCCATCAATGGAGTAAACTTTTGTTATTTTACTTCCATTCTGCTGCCTCTCTGTGTGTCATTTGCCAATTCCTTCCATAACAGCATGAGGTTGGGTGATCTGCTCATAAGATTATGGCTTCTGGTCTTGCTCAGGACTGATCCCAGATGCACAATTCAATCTGATGATGGACTGCTATTGTGCCTGCCTGAGTTTCTAACTCTGTGGGTCTGACAGGACCCAGCTCATAATGGATAGTTCGTGACACATCCTTCCTTAGCATCCTCTAACCAGGGATTCTGTCTCTGTTGGGCTCAGGCAACACATCAGAAACTCTTTTTCATGGGGCGTATAAGTCTATGTTGCTGGTGGTATGGCTTTGCTCTGAAATCCCACAGGTCTGTGTTGTCATGTTCCTATTGGAAATAAGCATCTTTTCTTAACACTAACACCTTCACTTCATAAGGTTTACCAATCATAAATCTCATGCTGTAGCTCTAATTTCCTGAAGACCCATCTCCTGCTTCAGATCCCATTCAAAACAAGAACCTTTTGTCTCATCTGGTATACAAGCTGGAGCCCATGACTAGATCAACAACATGCTACCACCATAAACCAAAGGGTCTTACAGAAACTTTGATATAAGAACCAAAATACAGCAATTTGTGGCTTGGAAGAGATGATCTTATATACCCTTGACTAAACTGGACCCCTGAAACATTGTCAAGCATAAAACAGAAGTTCCTGCATCCACTTTAACTTCTACCCTCAAGTGTATGCGTCTTACAAAGACCTCTAGAGTGTTAAGTACTTCTTGATTTTTTCTTCCTGATCCACACAGTGCTGTTCCCGGTGTCCAGAAAGTCCTGATCTCAGCTGATTATGACAGAGAGCAGGAACTACTAATGCATTCCTGGGACAAAACTGCAAATAGATCTTGTTACCTGTTCCATGTGAATGCAAACGGTGTCTGATATTCTTTTCTGATCTTTCTTGATTTAGATAGCAATGAATGTCAGATCAATGCATCCATATTATGTACCTAAGGACTTTCTAATCTGCATTAGATGAGATAACTAACATATCTAAAATGGCCACAATTGCAGTTATTAGTTGAGCTTGATGAACACACTTTCAGTCTTCATGTTTCATTTGGTTTCAACAGTAGTCAGACTGGTGGGCTCAATGGGACCACAGAATGGAACTCTATTCATTACATTCTTAGATTCTTCAGAGTACAACTAATTTTTGCCTCCTCTCCACACACATAACACCCCACCACCACCACTACCAAATGCAGTATTGTTTGATCCACTACCTTAACTGGGTTTGACTATGGGGGTGAGATTTGAGAAAGTAAGATTGTGGGGGTAAAGTTTCAGCAGCTTCCACGTTGCCTTCCCCATTATAATAGTTCTTATGTGGTCAGAAGAAGAATTCAAAGTGGAAGTTATTCCAACAGCCAAGAATGTCAGCCTCAACTACATAGTCAGGGACTTGGGAATGACCATTAGGTAAGCCCACACACCTGCTAGACCCACTGAGTGCTAGACTTTGGCCAGAACACCAGGTATGCCTTCACCCTTGCGTAACTGCTTATTTGTTACCTGTCCCTTTCCATGCCTTTACTCTGTCTTAATCACTTTCTCATTGCTGGGACAAAACATCCAACACTCACAACTTAAAGGAGAAAAGGTTTATTTTGGTTCACAGTTGCAGGCGTTTCAGTCCAGTTTTGGCTGGCTCCAAGACAGAAAAAGCACAGTAGAATGTCCAGGCAGAGAAAAGCTGTTC